CAAGCCTTGCCCTGTGCAAACAAACAAAAAAAAAAAAAGTGGGGGGTGGCGAAAAAAAATTAAAGTGAGACCTCTGTTTGCTGCTCTGGTCTCAACTCAAGTGTCCCAGTCAGCTTGTTACTTTGATTTTAGAAGAGAAGATGTAAAAGGTTCATTCAATCACTCAGAAGTATAGCCACTTATAAAACCAGAACAACAGGGAACAGACAAGGGAAGGAAAGTCAGAGTTGAAAGGACAGAGCAGGAAAGGAAGGGAATTTTCAAAAATAAAATTAACAAGGTGACTGACTGTTCCAGAAGGGAGCTGTGAAAAGGACATGGTGGACCGAAGTCTGTTAGTCAAGTAATGATTCAACTTTTAAATTATTCTCTTGTTCTTTTTTGTTGGGTGTTTTGTTTGTTCAAGTCTAAGATCTGGAAACGCTGACCCTTCGTTAACAAGAGCCAACAGGAAATATAGGATCCCTTCCCTCCCCCGGCCTGCCTCCGCTGAAGCCACCACCACTGCCTCCTTGGCTGGATGTTGGAAGAGTCCTCTGGGTGTGTGGACTCAGGATGACAGGGCAGCCTCCTTCTGTGGTTGCTGGGCTTGTGAACGCTGCAGTATCTTTTGGCTTTCCACGTCTCTAAAATGTTTTTCAACCTGAAAGAGACCAGGTAGCTAAGGTTAAGAAAAGGGTGGCAACAAAAAAGTCCAACCAAAAGGTAAGGATTCTTCATATCTAGGATCAAGCTTGCCTCCTCAGTACACTGGGTTGATAGCAACAAGCAACGTTTAAGACTTCGGCTATCAAAACTGGGGGCTACAAAAGCAGTGTCTGGCTTATAACCTTTCATGAGGGTGCTTAGTGTCAGAAAAGGGGTAAGATAGATTCCCCACTGAATAGTGTTCTTCTTGTCCAGATGGGTCTGGTGATGATGGGGGTAGGATTTTATGATTCAATTGCGTATAACTGTTAATAGGATTAATGGTGACCACAACTGTAAAAGGGGTGAGCAGTTAATCAGTCATTTCAGGAACAGAGGATCCTAGGACCATCAAGAGGTAAGAGTGTGAGAGGAGCAAGGGATCCTAACCAGGAAAGCGGCAACGACAGAGATGATGGCAAAGGCAATGGCCTAGGGAGACAGAGCAGCAGCGGACTCTAGGCCCAGGGACTGAGAAAGGCAGGCAGCTGGCTTGCAAAATGTGTCCTGTGGACATTTGAACGAATATATATTTTCAATGTGGTATGTGTACACTGGAAAAAAATAATGGTAATAGAGGTAAATACTGCTAGCTGATGGTGCATGGAGGGGACTGTAATCATTTGCTGAATGTAAAACTGATGAGCTACCCTGTAAACCTTCACTCAATTCACAATAAAGGCTTAAAAAAAAAAGAATAAACAAACTTTGGTACATGTACATATAATGAAATACTATACAACCCTGAAGAATAATGATGAATCTACAAAAACCCTCAAAACATGAAAGAACCTTGAGGCCATTATGCTGAGTGAAATTAGTCAATCACAAAAGGACAAATATTACGAGATCATTATTGTAAAAGCTTAAGAAAAGATTTCCACACTAAAAGAAAGAATCTTTGATGGTTACCAGGAGTGGGAGGGAGGAAAGAGCAATTCACAGGTTAGGGGGTAGACACAGGTAGGAAGGCAATACACAAGAAGAGGGAGAGTGGCAGATGAACAATGAAGACAAAGAAAGTTAAGGAGGTATGCATGGACTAAATGGGATAGAGGTAAATAGTGGTTTATACACAACCTTGGAACAACAGGGCTCTGTGATACAGAAGAGAAAAATGTTTAGGTCCTTGACTATCTTGTGGACATTGACTTCCCCTGTCTACTATTGTAAAATAGACATTTAAGTGTGATAGAAATGAATACTGGGAATTATGATTACAGGATAACTGTTGGTGCAGGGAGCGGATTATAATCATTTAGATAAAATAAAGGGCAAGACTCGTTGAAATTACAGCTGATGATCTTGTCTGTTCACTCAAGTCACAATAAAAGGTTATGAAAAAAAAAAAAAAGGTGGGCAAGGCAAGGTCGTCTACCCTACAGTCCAATCCAAGCGCCAACAGCCTCAAGCTGGCTGCTTAGCCCATGGATACACTTGACTGGACTTCTCAACCACAACCACATGGTAGGTGGGTGTCTCTTTCCTCAGCCTTTTTCAAAAAGCAGCCTCAGTTAAAACTGGCTGGAGGGAGTTGAACCTGTAGGCTAAAAAATATATACAGTTAAAAAAAAAAAAAGAAAAAGAAAAGGAGGGGAGATTATTGTGACCCAAGCTCTGCCTTCCCTCTTCACACAGGTACAAAAAAAGTCTGGCAGGGAGTCAGACTTATCATCCTTTTTACATGCAAGATGCTAGCCACTGTTGTCTCAATGTTCCTCAGTAAAACAAAAAGAGCAGGAGTGGTTTTTTTGGCTTGTGTTTACAAATATTGCAACTCACTTTAGAAAGTCAGACAACATACTCAGGGTCACAGAGATGTCATTGGCAATGGTTTCTACTAATCAGCCCCTCCTAGATGGGATTTGTGGCTGAGAAGAATCCAGCCTGGGAGGGAACTGCTCAGGCCCAATACCATGGGATGGGTGGGCGAATTCTAAAAAGACACACTACAGACAGCAGAGGCTTGACTGCTCACTTTAATTGTATTGCCCAGTGGTTTCATCCTCACAGGAATGTTCAGGCCACGTACTAGGAGGCAGGCTGCTCAGGCAGTGCTGCCTACAGACTGGCTATCAGAGGAGGCAAGGATTGTAGCACAGCAACCTGCCGACCGAGGAACTGTTCCTCTCCCTCTAGTGTCAGCTCCTTTACTTACTATTTTGCGTACATGGCTCAGTGCACTCCCCTCTTTGCCTTTACAGTTTTCCACTTGATATGGGGGTGTAATAACAACTTCTTCCATGACTACGATGTTTTTTTCTTGCCATTTACAGTCTTTAATACTGGAAGGAGAAGAGAACAGGTGAAATGTTACCTCTTGCAGGCATCCCACACCTCCTGACTGGTGAATAACTCCAGATAGCTGGTCCCAAGTTCCCGGTGCATCACTCAAGACAACTATATGCCAGCAGTCACAGGGAGAGGAGAAGCCACAAATACTTTCCTGGGCACAACTGGCTAGGAAAAGTAATGAAAGTGATGCACTTATTCTAAGGAAGGCTCAGAAAAGCTCCCTGGAACCATAGAACACTTGGTGGCAGCTTCAGAAGGCCAAACCAAATTGAGTCACCAAAAAACAATGAGGCTCAGGCCACTATTCAACTTAGACAGCAGCCAGCCTAGGGACAGGTTTAGCAAAGTTTCTCTACAAGGGTCAGACAGTCAACATTTCAGGCTTTAGTGGCCATATGGTCTCTGTCTTAACTACTGAATTCTGCTATACACTGTGTGCCAAAGCAGCCATAGACAATATAGGTAGTCCCCGGGTTAAAGACTGGGTTACCAACTTATGTACAACTGTACAACCCATAGTTATGAACCAACCCCCACACAAAGCCTGTTTTAATGGTTTTCTATGCATAGAAAGGTACACTATATACTAAAACAAACATATGACTGACATTAGATACCTGACTGATGAACTGTACCTAACTGTTCCAACATACATACGGCTTAAAACTGTAACTCATTCATAATCTGGGGGCCACCTATACACAACCAATGATTGTAGCTATATTCAAATAAAACTTTACTTACAGAAACAGAATTTGTCAATCCTTGGACTAGAAGGAGATGACACCTTTAGAAAGACAGGAGAACTATCTTGTTACATATTCCATCCTCCAACACCCATAGTGGAAGCTGCTCTGTAAACTGGCCCCACTCAATTATCCAGACAGCTGGGTGCTGGCCAGATTGGGAAACCTATTCCAGTTAACACTTGGAGAAACCTAGGGCAGCTGATGCTAAGAGAGTGCCTCCACATACCTGTAAACATTCAGACATATCATGGCTTCCAACAGCTCTGATGCCAGCTGCCATCTGTCCGCCAGACCCAGGCAGTTAAATAGGGTAACAGAAGGCAGCGTGTGGGGGTGTAGGGGGAATCAAATGTTTCCGTTTTCCAGCAAAGCCATTGGAGAGTCAAATGACTTTTGTTTGACAAAATGTCTTTCAGGAAATGGTAAGAAGGTGGCCTTTTGCTCTTCCTCTAGGGATCTGCCTATGTTCATAGCAAAGGACAATTGGAAAGGATGAGACAGATTTAACTTCCTCTTAATAAAAAAGTCCAAGCTTTGGGAGAAAGGTGTAACAACAAAATAATAAAAGAGAAAAGTGTGCACTTGTTCTAAATTATTGAATACTAGGTCTGAAAGTGCCCACTGAAGTAGCAGTCAAGAAATCTGCTGCAAAAGACATCTTTGCAAGACCTTTTTAAAATGTTAAAGAGCAGAGATAAAGCCTGGAGAACTAAGGTGCGCCTGCCGCGAACCATGGCATTCTCAACTGCCTCATATGAATGTGAAAGATGCACAATGAAAGCTTCCTAGATTTAAGAAGAACTGATGCTTTCGTATGACGGTGTTGGTGAAGAACACTGAATATCCCATGGACAGCCAGAAGAATGAACACATTCATCTTGGTCAAGAGTAAAGCCACACGCTCCTCAGAAACGAAGATGATGGAGACTTCCCCGATGTACTTCGGACATGTCATCAGGAGGGACTAGTCCCTGGAGAAGGACATTATGCTTTGTAAAGAAGAGGGACAGCAAAATAAGAGGGCATTCCTCAACGAGATGGACTGACACAATGGCTTCAACCATGGATTCAAACAGCCACACTGGGCAGTGTTCTGTTCTGTTATACAAGGGGATACTGTGAGTCAGACCTGACTCCACAGAAATTAACACTAAGGTCTGAAAGAGACCTTAAGGAGAATCAAATCCAAAACTAACTTTTACAGACAAAGAAACTGAAGCCTAGAGAAGACAATCTGCCTGAGTCACACCAGTCTGTGTAGAATGTGGCAAGCACCGCATCTTAGGATGCCCAGGATAGTGTCAACACTCAGCAGCCTGGATTGACTCTCAGGAATAGAGACCACACAACCAGGTAGCACCAACCCCAGGACAAGGTACCCCTGTGCTCCCCCAACTCACGTCTTGTGAATGGTCTGGAAGAGCTGCTGGCCCTCTAGGGAGACACCAGCGCTGATTGCATAGGCCTGGCTCAGCTTCTCCTCCTTCTCTGTCCGTGCTTTGCTGGCAAGCTAGAGTGGGGGAGAGGAAAGGGACTCAGAAAGCCACTCACCTTCGTTCTTCCCAACAGTCAGGATCTAAGCTGAGAAAGGAGGCCAGAAAAAACTGGTTTGGGTGGATTCCATTTTCTCAAACAGCAAAAATGACATAAACAAAAAAGCACAACATACCTGAAGAACAGCTACTGCTATTCCTGGCAAACACTGTTTCCTTCCAATACTTATTGAGTGTGTACACGTGCTAGACATTCCCTGTGCTAGGCTAGAGAGAAAGCACCGAGCGGGAGGGGAGGCAGACTATAAACCAGCAATTAAGAACACAAATGAGGTCATTTCAGACAGTGAGAAGTCCTAACAAGGAAACAAAGCAGGCTAATGCACTAAGAGTGTGACTGGGAAGCCATTTTAGACGAGACGGTCATGCACATACTTCTGATGAGACAGACTCAGAATTTTTACCCGTTCTAGTGGTGCTGAGGGATAAAGCACTGTACTGCAAGGTCAGTCTGAACCACAAGTTCAGTGGTTCAAACTCACCAGTCGCCCCTTGGAAATGCTATACAGAGCTGCTATGAGCTGGAGCCAACTCGATGGCACTTAACAACAACACAACCACAACTGTGCTAGAGTAATAGGCTTAGAAAATACCACAGCCTCACAGACTAGAATCTGATGCTCTAAAAATTCTACCTTTCCAGGACCATTATCTGTGCTCACATGGGGAGCCAAGATCCAAATAAACCTCACCATGGCTACTGTCCACCTTCACTTAAACAACTCTGTCCTGTCCTACTCAAGGAGCTGAAGACTACCTCAAGTCTGTTTCTAGACTGCCCTCTGGTGGACCAATCACAACTGGCCCCCCAAAAAACAGCACTCTGATAAAATCCCAATGGACTCTTGGGTACATTTCTGGCCCCCACCCCATCCTAATGATTGCTTTAGACTTCAGATTTGGGTGTACTGCTGGACAAAAAATATTTTTTTAAAAAAGCGAAAGGCAAAGTGCATCTTTCTCTCTCCCGACTCTCTCTCCTTCCCTAGCACCTGCTCCTTAAATACAAAAAGGGAATCCCCCTCCAGCATGTTCCAAAACATTCTTAGATGTGTGGAATCCCCAGTGATTTACATTTCCCACTGCTTTTACTGACCCCTCAAGTCATAAACCAAATAAACAGGGGAGGAGGGGTTTGCAAGCAAACTATCTAGCTCTTTGCTGGTAAATAAAGCAATTCATTAAGGCTTGGGTTTGAGTAGGAAGCAGAGAAAAGAAGGCCTTCAATTAGGGCATACCCTAACAGTCTTACAGTTTCAAAGACCATCTACTCCAAATGAGGTCAGGGGAGAGTGGAGAGGTGTTAGCATACACTGGCATTTCAGCCTCCCAAGGCAAGAGAGGTCAGAAAAGCCAAACTCTGCCATGACGTGAAGCTATAGCTCCTCTTTCACGTGGTTCATCTGTAGGACTCGGACCAAGAGATGCAGCAGCAGGAAGCAATCTTTCAAGCCTGGTCCTGCCATTTTGGCCCCATGAGGCTACAACTTTACAGAGAAATGAATGCGCAGGGCTGGCAGCACTCCCCTGAGTCTTGGCAATCTCAACTGCAGCAAGAAAGCCTCAGGGCTTAAAAGCCCTCTGTTTCTACGGAGAGAGAACTAGTGGTGTATTTTAAGCCGCAACAAGCAAAGCTTCCTCCGTCACCAAGAAAACCCTGGTAACAAGGAGTTTCCTTGAGTCTCACTTTCCAGACAACCCTGTAAACTTAGTCGTCTCCAAGCAGAGGAGAAAACAGGAGGGTAGCAGCATCCCCTTGGAGGATCCTGGGCAGCTGCTCACCGCATGAGCAGGCAGAGCCTCCCTCTGGAGTCTCAGTCCCTTTCAAAATGCTTATCCCTGAGAACCAAAACCGTTTTTTACTGTAGGGTCAAACAAGGCTGCTTTGATAAATGGATGGATAATCTGAGGGCTCAGAGGAAAATATCTTTTTGTTACCTTTACAGGTGGTTAAAACCTAGCAACACCTCATTCAGGAAGAGAAAAAGAAGAGCTGGCTTGGGGAAACCAGGCATCAATGCAGAATGTTTAAGAATGGAACTAACAAATTAAGCTAGAAGAGGAGGAGGAAAAAAGACTCGGAGAGGAAGGAACCACTTTTGAATTTTTGCCAGAGACAGAGTAAAATGCATATAAATCTCAGCCAAAAGTGATTATTTCATTTGGATAGTGTAACTATGACACACTCATTATAGATAGAATAATGCTTTCAAAACATATCCCTTCACCCCCCAAAAAAATACCACTGTATAATCGCCTCAAAAGGCTTTTAATAGCAAGAGATCGGACTAGCTCCTTCTCTCTTCCAACCCTAGTGTAAACATATCCCAAATGCCAAAGGATATACAGGGGAGCCATGGAAAAGTCAGGAAAAATGAGTGTAAGTTCACTATATCCCAGTTCACCCCAACATCCTTATCACCTTACCTACACCTACCACTGTGCTCTGGGGAGCTAGACCCAATGCAGACCCTCAGACTTCCAGTGGTCAATTTACAGACTGATTTTTTATGGTAGTCTGAAAAAAGTTTACAATTGACCTTAGCTGCTCTCTTCCACAGAGATTTGCTCTCACAGAGGATCCCAGCAATTCAGCATGGGGACTGCCCCACCAAAAGAATCTAAAGGTGGTTTTTCTTGTTAGAACTGGGGTCATAAGGTACATTTTTAGGTACATTCACTCATGCAAAACTTGGGAGTCCTGGTGTGGTGGCTGTAAGCTAAGCACTAAGCAGCTAACTACAAGGTCGGAGGTTCAAAACCACCTTGGAAAACCTAAACAGGGTCGCTGAGTTGGAACACACTCAATGGTACTTAACAATATCAGAATATAAGACCTGGTGGTACTGTAAGAGACACAATGGACTGCTAGCCACAAGCTCAACAGCTCTTCCACTCCACACAAGATGAGATTTTCCACTCCCATAAAGATTTACAACCTAGGAAACCCTATACAGAGCACCTATGAGTTGGAACCGACTCAATGGCACTTAACAACAACGTTATATTAAACCTCCATTTATAAAGCAAGTGACTATCACTCAACTTCAATTTAGCTGCTGTAACAGTCTCAATTTTCCCACATCTATTTTTATAGACAAATATATACTCAACAATGATCCAGTTATTCTAAGCTAACCAGTTTATGGTTTATGGTTGGGGTCAACTGTGGAGGGAACCAATAAAAACTGCCCTCCATAGGAAAGTGTTGCATGTGTTTTTTTTGCTTAGAAGAGTCATCAAGATTGCAGAATTTAAAATTCAAGGTAGTGTAGTGGCTAGCGTAGTGGCTATGAATCGGGCTGCGAACCTCACGGTCAGCAGTTCGAAACTACCAGCTGTTCCGCGGGAGAAAGATGAGGCTTTCTGTTCCTGCAAAGATTTACAGCCTTGGAAACCCTATACAGGGTCACTATGAGTCGGAACCAACTCCATGGCACATAACAACAACCACCTCCCATATTAAACCCATTTTCAATGCCAACCTGGCCTCTATACTCGTCTTGGGTATTGAAGCACTGACTGGTTGGCATCTCAAAGAACAAGTCCCTAACTTTAGGAACACAGTGGGGTCAAGACAAACTGAGGGGCAGAAATCCACCAACACTGGTTGCTAATGTGCATGTGGCTTCACTGACATGAGCACTCAAGACACTGTGCTCACCTGCCTTGCCAGTCATTCTGGCCGCGTCCTGGTGAAGACAGAAAGCCAGTCCTCATCTACTAACTGCCCTTCTTCCTGTGGTCATTTCTATAGAGCACCTTGATGTGGGCAAAGGAGAAAAGGACATGAACTTGATACCAAAGCCGTTTAACATTAAAAGGCTTCTAGTCAAGCCTGCTGCTGGGTAACCTGAGCGAGTGAATGAATGAACACCAAGGCACACATGGAGGGGGAGGGGGAGAGCGAGCAGCCACGACAACAACAGAAAACCCTAAGCAATATGCACTCCATCTTGTTATCTAGTTACCAGCTGGGTCATCTTATTTTCACACACCCAAACCAAGAAAGCACAGGTGCTGTGGGGAACCCAGAGGGATCCCTCCTACAAGTATGAACAGGCTGCGACAGCTGATACAACAAGAGAGGCAGAGGCCAGAGAGGAACCTGCTGAGTGTGACCTACTGACTCCCATGAGCCACTCTCAGTTTGTCTTCCTGTGTGTTTTTAGGTCTTCCAACCAGCTGCCCTCAGACAGGGGTTTGGAAGCACTGCAGCTGCTCCCTGGAAATGCTGGTGCTGCCTGCAAGCCTGATGGGGCCAAGGGACTGCAAAGCAGAGTGGCTAACAACTGTCATCCAAGGGCACCTGCTCGCTCCTGCTGTCTTAATTCTGGGGCAGGCTCTTGGAAAGCTAGCAACAATCAGACTCTTACAAATACGTCATCCAAATATCAATTCCAAGACTCCCTGTTAGCTAACTGAAACGTTTCTAATCAAATACTGCTCTTTAGCACTGCAGATAATTGAGAAATCAGAAAACACAGTGTCCCACTTGAAGCTGTGTCCTAGAATACATAAAAATGAAATATTAGCTGTGGAATCCAAACAGGGAAAAAGCCCAAGAGGCCTATAAGTGAACATTCTAATTCTAAGAGCTAACTTTCACTGAGTGAGGGTTTACTTCATTTAGGTCCCAATCTACACAATTCACATGTTGAACATTTAAATCCTCAGAAGAGATCTATGAAACAGGGACTGACTAGTGCATGGCACTGTAGGATAAACACTGGGCTGCTAACCCAAAGGTCGATGGTTCAAACCCACCCCCACTGTAACTTAGAACCGACTAGAGTCCTGATGTGGTGCTGTAGAATAAGCACTCGACCTCAAGGTCAGTTTGAACCACAAGGTCAGTGGTTCAAACTCATCAGCTGCTCCTCAGAAATTCTATACAGATCGCCATGAGTCGGAACCAACAGCTCTTAACAAAAGAGGGCATTTAACAATAGCAACA